TATGAATTGAATTCTGTCTTTTTGTTTATGTGGCTCAGTTTGCACCGCAGCTCATAAGCAACTACTTAGCAACCAATGGTTTGGGACAGAAATTAGAATATTCCAAAAATATAGTCTATTTGTAACTTTTTAAGCTAAATGCACACTGGTCAACTTGAAAAACCTTGAAAACAGGATGTCACAATCTGTTGTTGCTGAAAGTACTTCTCACTTTTGGGTCTGTCACACTTTAGATGTGAAAGAGGGGTAATCGTTTAAACATGAATTCTGTCGCTTACTGAACCAAAAGACAATAAGTTCGCAGAAATAAGAACAGATGCACCACCTAGATGTCATGGACAACAATTGGTGTCTTGGTATAGCGTTGACGATATTCTTCTTTGTGTTTGCTGAGGAAAAAAAGAAGAGGACTTTAAAAAAACTTTGGACTAAATCATTAATTGGGTTGTAGACATTATGGCTTGTCAGTTCTTCAGCATGCATTTGAAGCAGAAAGAAGTTACGTGTTCACAACTGCTAGCTCATTGGTCATGACAAGGCCATGAGAGACCGCCCATCAACAGCCACTTTTCAACTCTTTGTCGTTCCCAGTGGTTGCAAAGAGAGATGGGCTGCTAGATGAGTGAGTGGGACTGCCAGATTCATGTTTGTTGTTGTTGTTTGAGCGCATGAAAATTTATGAAAAAATATGTGGGGGTCGCAACAACTTTAACAACTTTTTATTTAGCTTCTGACTCCCTTAAGGGGACATTACGCACATCTCAAAGGGATTGTACCATTGTGTCCTCAAGATAAAGGAATTCTTTCTTATGGACTAGAAGCAGTCTCAAGTTAAAAGGATCTTTTGGCAGTCTTTACAGCTTCACATCAGCTAGACACCCCTTCTGTGATCAAAAGCCATGTGGTATGGCATTACATGAAAAGCACGGCAGACACTATTGCAAATCTGGAAAGGCAAATAAGTAAGTAGTTTTCCTCTGTGTGGCTACCCACCTATTCTATGATCATTCCCTTTCTTCCATAAACCTTACGAAGGCCTTCATATATTTAACACTGACCAAAGAAAGTGATTCTATCTGTAGTCTACGTGTGTGTTCACTGAGACCAATTTCTCTAACCTACAGCACACTCAGTTCAGATGAACTGTGGGTGGCCTGTGCTCTTGCATTTGGAGGTCAACCCAATTCCAGAACCTTGCCTTCAAGCCAGACAACACGGCTTGTAGTTGTTTCAGACAATCACAATCAGCCAATCTTCACCTCTATGAAAAGAGCCATAGAGGACCCACCACAGGGATCTTTACAGGAGAAGGTGGTGGGTATTTACCGGAAAGCACTGCATGCCTCCAACCGACATTGATGTCATCACACCAAGAGATTGTAAATGAAACCCACAAAGAAGAACCCACACTAAGCCACATTGGACAGCAGCCATTCTTTTGAGGGAAACTATATCTCCTAGCAACATGTACCATGGTGACACGAGATGACCACTTAGAGCCCCAAGTGTGTTTCTAAAAGATTAAAGATTTGACCATCAGAAAACACTGAAGGTTGTACTGTATATCTCTTGGAATACCATTAGGTTTGCCTTCAAAAACACTCTTTAAGGTACACCAACCTTTTGGAAATTCTGATGGCTTGTGATCAACAACAGAATAACTGTCTTTATGTTTTGACTTTGTGCAACCCACCCACTGGTCATTCACTCAGTAACCTCAGATGGACGTTTTTGCCATTGAAGTTTTGAATGCCATCTTGATCACATCATCTGTGAGTCATCCACTCCTTCCATTGTTTTTGGAGACTTTTACTGTATTTAACCAGTGGACTTGCAGATGTACATTGTTGTTGTGATAAAATGTTGTTCTAACTGTGGTGACCATCCGGTTTTCCCAAGCTTTTACTCCACTGGCCACAATCATGGGCTACCACCAAATTAAATGTTAGTTTAGTATATCACATTGACAACTGACTTCAACAGGCATTCGGAATCAGTTGCATTAATTTCCTTGTTTGCCTATTTTCCACAGGAACACTGGTTTTATTGTGCACAATTCATCTATATTCCACAAAAAGACAAACTTGTCTTTGTTATCCTCACTGAACCAACTTCCTTCTTGGATGATGTGACCAATTCCTTTTATATTTCTGCCCCACCCCTTTACTGATTCTACCCACATAGCTGTATTCTGTCAGGACCTACTTTTCTTCTTCTATTTCACTTCCAATGGACAGTCAAGTCCCCGTCTACATTTTTCTTTTCACTTGGAAGTCCTTCAAATTACAGAAAAAAATTGGTTGTAAACACCGTTTAAAATTTTTGATTTACAATTGTGTATTGTTTCACAGTTTGTTGTAGTGCTGTAATGTTAAACAAGTTGCAGTCTTTGACTGACCACATCTAATAGTTTTGTCATATGATTGACTGACAGCTCTATATAACATTTACGAGAATGTGTCTGGGACTGTTTGGAAACTACTGGGAGGAGCAGTAGTTGTCACCACTGATGCATCATGCTTCAGACAAATGTTGTCAGATGTCAGTCTTACTTGCAAAGTCTAATCATGCGGCCTGTAAAGACAAAAGCTGCCCTTTTAAAAGTGATTGATCATTTTTTTCAATGAAGAACTGGAAAGCTTTGTTGTTTTTGCATCATGTTGTTGAAGTAAACCAAGTTTGTTTTTTTAATTCTTTTTAACACTCTTCACAATCTTTTTTAAATACAGGTCATTCACACTGACTGTTTTTGCAGCAAATAGAAGTAATAAATTTTTACTGGCAGTTGGTGATACAATGTGGTAGTGTCGAAGTTCAGAAAATCTGAAGATTTACTGGAAACAAAACAGCATATTTGATGGCAATGGAGCTGATCATTAATGATGTTAATTTTTAGGCCATTCTTGTAGGAATTTAGAATGGCAGTTTTAGATTTACGAGTCTTAAGGTTTGTGGTTAACATTACTTACACCGTTTGTTCAACAACATTAATTTTATAGTCATACCTCATGTAAATTTCACAGATGCTTTGTTGTTGTTGTTGTCATTTTTATGCAAGTTGCTAAAAGGATTGCAACAGTTGTCCAATTCATAAATCAAGTAAACTCATAGCCTTGTGCTATCGTCCTTATTTAGCAACTTGTTAGCATTCTAACACAGCAGCAGCAAAATTTATGTTTTAAGGTTAATGTTAACCATCTCTCTTTAAAAAATATAAGTAAATAAATAAATCCCAGGAGACTACAAACTGAAGTGCTCTATGTATAGTTGTGCTGCCCACCCATACATTTATTAGTAGGAACAGCTACTATGGCCAACTTGACAACCTCTAGCAATAAGAGCACCATTCCATCTTATTGGAGTAATAGAGGTGGGTGGAAGATTTCATCTGAACAAGGTGGAGACATTACCTAAATTTAATGAGAATTTTTTTTTTCCCAGAACTTTCCTCATGACCACACCATATGTTCAAATGCAGATGTTCTTCCATTTATCCAAACAGACAAAATGCATGACTTAAGCCAAACTGGGCAAAGGTGGACTGTGATCATTTTGTAATGGATTCTTGTCTGCATAGTCATCAATCAGTAGGGGAGTGCAGACAACTGTGGCCTATGGCCTTGTGGCTATATGGAGGAGACCGAAGGGACAGTCAGTGGTGTGTAATAAAGATTGATGGTTAAGAGGCGGGCCATTGAGATGAGTAATCTGGTAGATTTGTGAGAACCAGTGATGGGGCGATCTGCGGTTAAATCTGAGCACATCACTACATTCTTCTGTGCTTTCTCATCATAAATTCAACACCCGACATCACCCCCTCCCCCCAGATCCCAGTCTACCCCCTACAGGCATGGTAAAACATGCCAGTGTCCTTATCAATTTCATACAAGTGGAGATCAAATTTAAAAAGACAGCTTAGAGTGTATTTCTGATAACTCTGGGGGGAAACTGTCCCTTTAAAAATAAATAAAAATGTGACCCCTTGATCAGTTTGTTAGAATATGCGCATATATATATATATATATATATATAGCAAGAGAGAGATAAATTCAGATGTATTCTGATCAAATTCAGTTATTTAAAATTATAATTCACAATATTAATGTTTTTACTGTAGTTAATTGAATACATTGAGCATAGGAGCCTTGAATTGAATCAAGCCTTTTTTTTTAGCATAGGAGGCTTCTTTAAAAAAAAAAAAAATCATTTTTTGTTACCAACACACACACACATACATTTATATGTATATAAACTAACAAATACATGGTTGCGGTTAATTATTAAAAAAATAAAAAGATTTAGGCACTTTCTTTTTTTTGTTTTTTTTGCAATTTTCATAATGCATCAAATGTTGTACTGTTGAGTTTGAGTCAAGATATGACTTGGACTTGTTGTCAAGCTACATTAGATTCACCCAAAAATAAACATTCACAGAGTATACTGAAATTAAGTAGGAGAGCAAACAAAAATGCCCACACACAAAAATAATGTCACGCTGCATGTCTCAGCAAGTGCTCAACTCACAACAGAAGACCTTCACAAAGACTTTCGAGGCAGAAGGCGACCCTACATCACTGACAGAGGTCAAGAAAAGCTTAAAGCATGCGTGTTGTTTCACTCTGACCCTTGTGACCTGTGCCCAAGTCAGCATCTACAGACTTACTCACATGCCTTGCACAACGGCAAACACACATGACTCGGCACACAAATAGAGAATTAAAGACATGTCGTCACCATTAAATATTATCACGAGCAATTGGTAGTTCAATATTTATTTTAAGATTGACTCAATAAAATTTGTACATTGTGGTGCCATTTGTTTCCCAGATTTGTTTTACAAGTTACAACCTTTGGACGTACTGGCATTGACAAGTATGACGGCACCCCCTGCTGTCATATTTGTTTCTCCAAGTTGTGATGCAAAGTTCAGTGTTCTTCTCTTCCACATTATAAGCATTAATCTAAATGCCACAAACTGAACTGGAAATATTTCTTAACAGGGAGCAGGCGACAGCTTCATTGGTGCTCTGGCTTTCTACATGGCCCATTATCCCACAATGCCGCTGGAAGAGATGGCCAGGAGAGCCAACCTTGTCGCAGCCATGTCTGTACAAACTGTCGGCACTCAAACGTCTTTTCCATTTCAGAAGGATCTGCCAACTGAACTGTTCTGAAGGTGACCCTTGGCTTCAAAACAGCACCATTAATCTGTGCACAGTGTCCACAGAATTATTGTTTGTATAATAAACAATACCATGTACTGGTGAATTCCAGATAATGTAATTTCCTGGCATTATTTGTAAATGACGTGATATATAATGTTTAAATATGTCTGAAAATAAAATAAAACCATGTCAATTTATGTAATAAAGTACAAACGGCAAATGAACTGCTATTATTTTTTTTAAACAATTATGAATTTTTTTTCTGCTAAACACATTTTGTAGGATAATTATTCCAACAAATCCACTTCAGCCTAAAGCAATCTGTCATTGAGTAGGTGGTCCATTGTTTGCAGTAGGTCAGAATTCTGATTTGGTACAAAAAAGAAAACAAAAGAACCAAACAAATCCAACATAATACACTTATTGTAATGGCCTTAACAGCACATTATCCTGACAGGATGTACAGCTCATTTCTGGTCTCATTAGACCAGTCATCCACAGCTGCAGTAATGCAGGGTCTTTACTTTGATGTAAATCTTCTTCCTTCATAGTTGTTTAATGACACTTGCATATGCTGGATGTTGATCAATCATCACAGTTGTTTTATGCTGATAACACTTCAAAAAGTCCATTTTCTCAGCCCATTTTTTTTAAAGAGATCGTATCTTCCTCTTCTCAATGAACAGAACATGTTTGTTCACTGTGGAGAGCAGTGAAGAGGAAAACATTAACTGAAATATGAACAGAAAATAAATAAATTAAAAAAACATTAATAAAGCAATCTATTTTAAAGACCCCACAAAATTGTAAAAAAAAAATGTTTTGTGTTGTTTTAAAGTTGGAGCACAACATATCGAAGGTATATTTTGTCATCATCGTTTAGGAGTACACAACCTCAGTGGTTTTCAAGCTTGCATCCACAGAACACTTGAGAGAAAAAGATTTTATAAAATGTATTTTGCATCTTAAATTAAAGTGCCCCTATTATGGGTAATGAAATGTTCATATTTTGGATTTGGGAGTCCCCAACAACAGGTTGACATGCATGCAAGGTCAAAAAACACTCTCACTGTCTTATATGTATTTATTTTTACCTTACTTGCTCAACGACTCCCAAACGATTCGCTCAACGATTCGTTTCTCCAAACCCCTCCTTAGTGTGACACTAATCTGCCGTGATTGTTCCGATTGGTCGATTTCATTTCCGTTTCATCATGTCTATAATGCCTTATAAAGCAGCGTTTGTGAGCGCAGTGCTGCTTTGTTTACAGCATTACCAGGAAAACCACTATTTTATCGCTCCAAAAGCAGCACCTAGTGGCAAAGAATACATTTGCATTTTCTGAATGAACAATTATATATTTTTTTACAAACATCACCAAAAATAAATGAATCCTTTAAAATATAAATTGCTCATTGTTAGTTATCTAATGCATTCACTAATGTCAACAAATGAAAATTCTTACCAATTGTTCATGTTAGACAGTGCACTAATGCTAACAGAAACAACTTTTGATTTTTGATTGTATTAATAATACTGAAATTAGCTAAATGAGATGAATTAAATAAAGTATATGTAATGTTCATTTTAGGTTAACTGTAGCTAACCAATGTAACAATTGAAACGTTAATGTAAAGTGTTACCAATATTTCTGTACAAGCAGTGTTCGAACTATACCGTGGACTTTGGGGGAGCCCACTTGTTTTGTTTTTTTTATAACGGGGGAGTGGTTCGTGCACTTGCGCGTGCCTCAAAAGGGGGCTTACAATGAATTACAAAGATACATAACAGCTACAAGTGTATGCACTACTTGCTTTATGCAAGCACTATAATTAATACCATAATTCCTCCGTTCAATTAGGCCCAAGACATCGAGAGTCACACAGACCTATAACAACCCAGCCACAACACATGATTGCGAATAACATGCCTTACCTTAACACAGAATCGACCACAGAGTCCAACGTTTATATTTTTTTCTACGAATCTTTAACATGTACTAAACATGAGTGGAATTTGCACCGCAGCGCCCCCACACCTTGATGCTCATGACAAGAATAGCATGTATAGTTATCTTAATTGAAGTGAATTAGGTTTAAATCGCCGTCATGCATGAATGAATGATATTTTTGCAATTTTACACATAATAATCCACGATGATCACATTACACAAAACTGAAATTGTACGTCAAAATAACACATTGTCAATATTTGAGACCCCCCAAAATTTCACAAATCACCTTTTCAGGGGAGCCCATGTCTTATTAAGGGGAGCCGAGCTCCCCCTAGCTCCCCCGTAGTTCGCACCCTGTGTACAAGTGTTTGTTATGACAGACATGCTCACTAGGGTTTTAAAGCAATATTCTCTGTAAATCAACTGTAGTATGACATTTATTGCAAATATTAATTCAAAGGGTTCAGGTTTCAGGTTTCTTTTAATAAAAAGGTTTCTGGTTTCTATCGATGCAATACAAAGTGAATGTTTTTAAATAGAAACTGATGTGAAATTATTATTATGATTATGTAATTTATAAAATCAATGTTTTATCACACACACACAGTATAAAGAGTTTTTTTGGGGGGGGGAAATCAATTCAGAGTTTGCCATTATACTTACAATGACAGAAAAAGTTCACCTCACCTATGGGGTCATGCTTTCGCAAAACCAGTTTGTCCCTCAAACGGCCCCTCTTCGTGTTAAAACAGTAACCTGTGCCAGCTGCACTCACCATCTGAACCAGCAAAGTCCTGAAACACAAGAAGCCACAGGTAAATACAAAGCACTAACTTCAATGTGTCTGTCATAAAACAACAAGACATTAAACCAAGGAACAGGAACTATTTTTAAATCAAGTGTTTAACCAGACCTACCAGAATAAACTGTTAAGTTGTTAAAGTTAACAATTGTATAATGTTCAGCAACAGAACAAAAAGCAATATTAGACCGTGAAGTGTATTATTCTGTATGCTCTCAGTTTGAAATTTAAGAAATGTAATCATATACAAGAGCTCAACATGGCAGCCGTGTGTCTTGCATATCAGTGCAGCAAAGTTTTAAGTATGTAAACAAGTGCAATGGAGATGTGGGAATACTCACTTAGATTTGCTCTTGGCAACTAGATTGAGAAATAATTCAAGAGGAAGCAAAACAATAAAGTAATTAGCACTGACATCTAACATTGTAATTAATAATATCATGCACATATGTACGTGTTTATTAATACACAATCACCAAGTGACATCTAAAACAAATATCTGTGGTAAATAGTAAAAAATATTTGAATTTCGACATTTTATTAATATGCAAATATTATACATTTATACATGAAACTACTGGCTAGTTATTAGCCTCTACTCAAAGCATCTGTTCTGCAGTCTAACATTACACGTTTTGCCCGCAGTTATGCTGACAATGACGTTTTGTGGATATTTTTAGATACATATTGTAGATATTATCATTATAGGTGTACTCAGTTTACAGTAGTGAGAAACAGTCTTATTCTTCTATAACAGTTCAGAAGTAACCGCTCCGAAATGTCACATTGAGCTCCTCTGACTTGAAGTTTCCGGCTAAAGTGCCAATGCTTCCGGTGTCATGTGCGTCATCGGGACTTTGATGGGACTAAAGTAATTTCGCTTATGGGTTAGCTTGGTTCTACGTATTTTATGTATGTCTTCAACATGTGGATATGAAAGGTGAATATGTGAACATCAAAAGCTTATGAAAGAAAGAAAGAAAGAAAGAAAAAGAATGAATGAATGATGTCACATTTAAAAATACTTAAAATAAATATTAATAAAAGTATTCTAATTTATTTACTTTTAAGTCACTCAGATAGGGGATGGCTAGGATATCACTAGATGAACCCCTTCTGCAAATACAATGAATTAAATGTCTATAGGCAAGGATCAGGAAACGGTCCTCCATAAAATGTGCTGCACACATCTGAATATTTGGGTTGAAGTGTTCTGGAACAGTGTAATAATAAATAATAATTGTGTAAATACAACTTAACCACTGATTTCTAGTCTATTTCTACTCCTGTGGCTTAGTGGTAGAGCATTGCATTAGCAGTGCAAAAGGTTGTGGGTTCAATTCCCAGGGAACACGCATACTGGTAAAAAATGTATAGCCTGAATGCACTGTAAGTTGCTTATCAGAATCAGAATGAGCTTTATTGCCAATATGTTTTCAGATACGTGGAATTTATTATCATGACAGAAGCTTCCGCAGTGCAACAGAATGACAGCGACAGTACAAAAACACAGATAATAAAAGAAGAATTAAAAAAAAAAATAGAACAAGTCAATAAGAAATAAAAATATGTAAATTGACAATTGTATGTGCAGGTATATTACAATAACACAGTTTTGTATGTACAGGTATATTATGTGCAAATTTGAGGTGTAGAATAAGTATGTGTGTTAGATAAATAAGTGTATGGGTGTATAAATAGCGTTGTGTGTTCCACAGTTATTGTCAAGTGTTCATGAGATGGATTGCCTGAGGGAAGAAACTGTTCCTGTGTCTGGCCGTTCTGGTGCTCAGAGCTCTGTAGCGTCGACCAGATGGCAACAGTTCAAAGAGGGAGTGTGCTGGATGTGAGGGGTCCAGAGTGATTTTGCTAGCCCTTTTGCTCACTCTGGATGAGGACAGTTCTTGGAGAGAAGGGAAGGTTGTACCAATGATTCGCTCAGCAATCCGGACTGCCCTCTGTAGTCTTCTGAGGTTAGATTTGGTAGCTGAGCTGAACCAGACAGTTATAGAAGTGCAGAGGATGGATTCAATGATAGCAGAGTAGAACTGTTTCAGCGGCTCCTCTGGCAGGTTGAACTTTCTCAGCTGGCGAAGGAAGTACAAACTCTGCTGGGCCTCAATGTGTCAATGTGAGTGTCCCACTTCAGGTCCTGAGAGATAGTGGTGCCCAGGAACCTGAATGACTCCATTGCAGTCACAGAACTGTTCATGATGGTGAGTGGGGGGAGTGCAGAGGGGTTTCTCCTGAAGTCCACGATCATCTCCACTGATGCACCAGACAGCCATCTCTTTAACCTCCTGTCTGTAAGCAGACTCGTCACCGTCCAAATGAGACGACGTTTAAGCGTCTGCTAAATGCGTAAATTATTTATTATTATTATTATATACCTGTAACTCATGTAGTAGAGTATGACATCATAGTCATATGTTCCATTTGTAGGGAGCACAAATGTATACCTTCTATGTCAAGTCAAGTCACCATTATTTATATAGCGCTTTTTGCAATGCAGATTGTGTCAAAGCAGCTTTACAGTATTAAAAAAGGGAAATAGTGTGTCAAAATAATGTGCCGTTCTCCTCTGGCCAGACGACACCAGCAGTTTAATTCTAGGTTGCAACAAAGTCAGATTGTGCAGAGGACTCATCTGGTTCCCGTGGTCTTGTTCCGAGGTCTTCGGAGGGGATCTGTCTCTGGGGCTCATCTGGTTGACATGGTCTCCGCTGACATTCAGACATTCTATGCACTGTAAAGGACGACGATTATAGCAATAATGGCACAGAGGACAATGACAGCCAATCTTTAAAGACCTCTAGCATTTAAAGCGTCAGACAAAATAACTGCAGCGTGCTTATAATAAACACAACATTATCGTCGATTGATGTGGATGCTAAAG